CCTTAGATAATTACTATGTTCTATCTTACCCCTAGGACTTCTCGCTTCATATCGTACTCTCCAATTATTCATGACGCTTTTCAAAAACTTTCGTAACAGGTCAGGAACTTGCATTACTTTGAGCAGCCATTTGATATAACTATGTGGCAGACTATCGAATGCCTTTGCATAGTCTATCCAAGCTACGCTAATAGGTCTCTGCTTCTGATCCTGTGCGTCTGCTATTAACGTTTGGTCAAGAGTGAGAGCATGTGAGCAAGCCCACACACCCCGACGTAATGCTATTTGCTCGTTGTTCAGTATATCTCGCCCCCTCACATACTGATCTAAATATGCGGCTATAAAACCTGTTACTAGCTTGTAGCAGATGTTCAAACAAGCTATAGGTCTGAAGTTCGCGGGATCAGACCTAGATCCGGATTTATGTATGAGTACTATACGTCCATCGGTTATCCACCTCTGCGGTAAGGGTTCGCCAGATAAGATATGATGAAGAGTTAAATCATAAAGTGTTGCATTGGCTGAATCGAAGACTTTCCACCAGTACCCCTGCAACTTATCTGGACCATGTGCTTTCCATGGTTTTATCTTTTGAACAACCTTCTGCCAAAGTTCAGGGTTCAATCGACCTTTAAGATCAGTCTCTCCCTGAATATTTGACATCGATTGTTCCCATGCTACTAGCCGTGGACTCTTCGAGTTAAAAGACTTTTTCACCCCTACAATTTCTTTCCAGAACTTTCTGATCTGATGGATATCAACTGGTTCTGAATCAGTACACGTGCCTCGGAATAGCATCTTAGCCGGCATCTGACGAACGCGTACACGTTCTTCATCTGCTTTCCTTAATGCTATTCGCGATTGTAGAAGTTGAAGTCTGCACTTCAATCTTTCTACAAGAGATGTTATTTCAGCCCGTGACTCCACCTTATATTTCTTTTTAAGCATCCTGATGTTATGAAACTGCTTATTTGTAAGGGCTACTTCCGCACTTCTCACCCGTCTATTTAACTCACTAGTAGCTTTACCGATGACGCGGCGCAAATTCTCACATTCACTATATGTGATCTTAAACCATTCTCTTGATCGTTGTTGTTTTTCAAGACATTTTCGGTTTCCTATCTTAGAAACTGTCATCGCACCAGCGTAAACTAGATTTGACAACTGATTCCAAGATATTCCACCTACTACCAAATCTAACTCACTTTTTATCAGTCGATTAACTTCGCAGATGATAGGCTTAATATGCTTGCCGGAGACTCTTAGTGGCGTTTTTCTCAACGTCATCCGACATCCTATCTTTTGTGCCTTTTTATATTCTTTCCTGAAGGTTGATTTAACAACATCATCAGCCAAATCAGCCGGTACGCACTGATCTGGTTTTACGACTGTAGGGTTTACATCGTTATTATTACTACCGGCGTTGTGGTTAACATCTACAGTAGTGTCAGATGGAATAGTAACGACTTTCAAATGCAATTTCGTCTTGTTTTGTATCAAAGACGAATCACTAACACTCACACTGGCGGATTTGGTCTTGATATCCCGCCATTTGCTGCTAAGGCCTGCCTGAGTCCTTTTGGGCAGATTCAGATCTATCCAAGCTTTTTCGACGTCATTCCAAGATATCGTACCTGAGGGTGTGACATTGCTTGGAACTAATCGCTTTAGCTTTTCAATTTCCTCTTCTGACCAAACTGATGCCTTCCCCGATCCAGCGGGTTTGTCACCACTCGGTCCTTTTCCTCCATGCGGAGTGCTATTTTCGAACCGACGAGTGGGTGTAGGAGCCACATGAATGCCAGCACTAGGACCTTGATCTTGGCTAGAAGTATCGACAATTACTGCTGGGGCAACTGCACGACGACTTCTAGTTGCAATAGGTTGCCGAGATTCGGCACTCGATCGCTCAGCCATTCCGGATAAGGATGCTGCGCGCTTCCCGTCACCGGGTTTCACTGATTAATAGAATGTAGCTGTCTCTAGATGATGTCCTCCAGAGACTATGTAGTGACTAATATTCTAACCAGTGGTGCATAATACACAAGACAAAGTATTTTTCTTTCTTTAGGCCACTTCTCAATATAGTAAAGACTTCATTTAAGGCTCATCCGATAGCTATTGACTTAGTTTTTAAAATATTATTTTCTTGACGTATAATTAAAAATATCACACTGTGCTCAGTTATCAAAATAGGATCTTTTCTTTTTTGGAACAATACCTATTAATTAACAGAAGCATATACTCTTCGCGTTCCATGATAAAAGTACGGATCATAAACAGATTTGGAATTTTATGTTATGTTCTTCCACGATCTTTTCAAGGTCACGATTGCTATCATTTCTGACAAAAGCTTTAAAATAGTAACTTCTGATGTTTTTGGATGCATTCTGAAAGAGCATGTGTTTCAAGAGATAGACTACGTCTATAAGACGTTTCTACCCATGCTATTGAATGTAATGTTTAGCTTTAAGTAAAAACTACCATTATTAAGTTTGTAAGCTTGCGGTGGTCTGATGATTTTTCTCTCGAACATTTTCTCTGCGGATATGGATTAATGACTACATTAACTATACGTTGGATTTAAGTTTTATACATCATAGCTAGCAGTCTGAACTAATGACCTACTAACATCTATTAGGTTTTAGAGTCGTGCCCGAATTCAAGTTTTGGAACCCGCACTTATTCTGATGTTTTCTATTTAATTGATCCGAACCTGAAAATCTTGATCATTTATTTCTGCTATATTAGCCATATTCTTCAAATAACGTGAGTTAAAAAGAACTAAAAGTTTTATTAAAGTACAGACTATATACCGAAATTGCATCTAGAAGACTTCATTAGTTTTAAAACTATGAAATATAAGAGAATTGATTCACTTTCGCCGACGACGTTGTTTGCCGATTTTGATATTATTGAATGAAATTCTCACCGAAAATGAGTCTCGATCATATACAATCGAATATGTATATAATATTTATTATAATTAATTGGTTCATTGCCAAATCGATCGATTACCGTCTCAATTGGTAATTAACTTAGAATGTAGGTCTGATTCTTCTCTCCATTTAAATCTAAACTTATTTTCAACTCGGCAGAAAACATCGTCGGCGAAACAGAAATTCGTCGTAAACAGAGGTTACCTAATTCTACTTGTCTTTGTCCTTTTGAACAAATACATAGATATTGATTATAATATAGTAATCCGTTCGTTATTTATTAATAATAAGGATAGACTTTCAATGAAGAAAACTAGATAGCTTTTCTTGACATGAGAAAGATTATAATCTTTAGTAATTCAAGTAAAAAAGATGATAAATTTAAAAAAAGATGTCATTTCATCTTCTTAAATCTTAGGCAATCGGATATTCATTTGATGAAGCTTTGACGAGATTTGGTTTTGATGTCAAGTTTAGTGCATACTTTAATGCAAATCGCAAAAAAAGTAACAAAAACTTTCGATAAAAAGTCTCACGTAAATTTCTCTTTTATCTTAATTGAATTTTGTTAATTTCTCTTTTTAGATTATTAGCGAAGAATAATCCTAGGTTTCAACATGATAAAATAATTTTATGCTTAATAATGCAGTTTTATGATTTATGTTGAATTTTTTTTCATTCAACCTTTTTGCGTGATGATTATCTCTGATGATATCATTAAGTGTTTGAACAATCACATTTTAAGTTATTTTCTTATTTATTAAGAATTCATGATCTTATTAAAAAAAAGGAATATGTAATTTCTTGACAGATTCTTGCCAAATACAAAACAAACTATTGACAGGAGTTTTTTTAACGATATAACGTCCATGGTTTAAGTAATGTTTTTTTTTACTTTCGTTTTATACGTGCATAGTTATATCGTAGGCTAACTAGTTTCAATATGACGAGATATGAGATGATCGAACATTGACAATATCAAATATTCTTATAAATCTTTAGCAAACATTTTCGTATATGTTTAGAAACCAGAGATGGGTAAGTCAGGTTTTTTTGTACCCAAGTCAAGTTAAGTCATTCGTAAAAATTGAACCTATGAAGCCAAGTCGAGTCCAATCATGGATTCGAAGCAGACATTTTAAAGTTAAACCAAGTCAAGTCTTCTCTCGCGTCAAGTCTCAAGTCTTTGACTTAAATTGTTTTAAAATTTCGTAATTTTATGCTGCATCTATTTATTACAAAGCAAATTGTATTAGTACTTCATTATATTACAATATGGCTAAAACTTTTAATGTCTTTCTTGACTTTTTTAGATCCATGATGCAGAAATGTGAGGCCCCTTTCAGACAAAATTTTTTTTATATGTGACGATACTGCGGACTCCGTCAGTACCTTCTTTGACAACGGATTTAATGTTTTATACTTAATCTATTGATTTATTAGAATCAATCTATCCGAATCTTTATCATTATCTTAAACTTTTATCGGTAGTTATTTAACTACTAATAACGTTGTTACATTGTTTATTGATTGTTTGATAAGGACTATTCACATGTTCTATGAGGAAAAAATGAAGATTTTCTGTTGTATCTATGGCAAAAGATACTGAATTTCATAGTACAAGGACAAAATAACTTCACATTTGGTGAACCTACTATCCGTTGGAGCTACAGAAATTTGCGTGACTTGACTTGAGTTTTTTTGCTAAGTCAGAAGTCAAGTCACTACAAGTCACCAGTCTTCCCAAAAAAATTCTTTAACAAGTCAAAGTCAAGTCCCAAGTCTTTTTGATATTTTCCAAGTCAGCCAAAACAAGTCAAAAATGACTTGACTTGACCAACTCTTCTAGAAACCATATTTTGTGAAATTAATATATGTTTGAAATCTATAACAAAAATTCGAATTCCTCAGCTTCATTCATCATAGCTGATTCTAGTTTTCTCATTACGAACCTCAACAAATGTATTTAACAAATACAACTGGAAATTTTTTTTAATACAATTTAAAAACAAAATATACCAAATCTCTTATCTTATATCAATAGTTTCATTAAAATGTCATTTAATCTGATTCATTTTGTGAATAATAATCTGTTGTATAACTTATATCCGATAAATGTAATGATTTTTGTGTTTTAATTATTGTATTATGTTGTTCAATAATACTTCCACTATCATTACTACTTTCATCTGTTGATATAGATAATGTTGATTTTGTTTGTTGCCATTGAACTTCATTTTGTTTTACTAACTTTATCCATCGATCATCATCATCATCATTAATGAAATCATCATGTAATCGATTTTTTTCAACAATTGTTTCATCAATATCAGTTGAATAGAGTGATTGATTTTCATCACCATTTCTTTTAAGATTTACTGGTATGATTAAAGCATTATTACTATTTGATATTTGTTTTTGTTCTTGTTCTTGTTCTGATTCATGTAGTAGAATTTCTTTAATTGATTGTGATTGTAATTGATCACCAGAGCCTAATTCAATTGGAGAAGATAGTTGATCATTTTGTTTAACAGTTTCAACACATGGTACATCAACATTTGTTTCACTGATTGATAAAGAACTTGTTGGTGTTTTTAAAGGTTTTATATCAAATTTATATGGTGAATAAGAAAAAAGTTTCCAAATAAGGTTCGTTGTTTGTGATGTTATATTATCAACATTATCTTTCCAAGTTAATGTTAGTTTATCATGTTTTCGTATTTGTTGAACTAATTGATATAAATATTGTCTTTTTTTATTACGATTTAAACGTATAATACGATATGTATATTTATGTAATTTATTTTTTTGTTTTAAAATTATTGATGAATTGATTTGTTGTTTAAGATTTTCAATTGTTAATTGAATAATTTTTAGTAATGAAGCTCGTTGTTCTAAATGATGATATTCATCATCAAATGTTTGTGTTAAAGATAAAAAAGCATGATGTAACTGTTTAGTTAATTCATGATTAGAATTAGTTTTTACTAATAGATTAGTTGATTTTTTATGAAGATGTTTTAGAACAATTGAGTAATTTATTAATGCTTTATGAAATTGTGTTAAATATTTTTGAAGAAAATTCAATATAGATGTAGCAAATGAATGATAATCATTAAGTTGTTTATTGATTCGTTCGCATTCATACATTTCTTTCTCGTTTCAATTTATACAAGATGAAATAAGCAAAATTATTCAAAAAGTAAAATGAAAATAATTAAGACAGCGCCGGTTTTTATGTATTTGGTAACTCGGTATATTTTTTTATAAAATAGATTTGTATTTATGTGTTAAGAGATTAAGTCATATTATACAGTGGAGATAAAGCGATCTGCTTATTTATGCCATGATATGGCTTAAAGAGAAATTATGTTGATTACATGTAACTTATGAAGAACGACATTAATCAGTAAAAATAATATGAATCATGAGCAATGGTTTGTAGTGTCGCACTCTCTTGGTATGCAAGAAGAAGGCATACATCATCTATAACAGAGTCACTTGAGACGTGTAGAGCACAACGGCATTATATAAATATGGTGCTATGCAACGGTAGGCTCGAACACAATGACATTGCGTCCAAAGATAAAGTGATACCTGTAGTAAGAGCTGCTTACCTGATATTTTTTTTAAAAGAACTGATTTCAAAATTTTAATTTTCGACTGTTCGATATCATCGAATTTTGCCAATAGGATTTGATGACATCCGACAGTGGAAATCTATTGAATCCAACGAAACTCGATGGTATTAAAATAATTGATTTTATTTTTTGTGGCTGTTAGACAATATGTGAAATGTATTTGTAGTACATTTTCTGACGACGCCAAATCGTTGTCCACTAATCAAGGTCAAACACTCATGCTCTTAAATGACAGTTTACAATGAGAATGGGAGCAATAAAACTCGACGAACAGTAAGCATAGATTACTTTTTTTTTATTCTATTTTTTTAATTCAGATTACATTATGGCATGAAATTCACCAAAAGTGAGTATAAATTATGCGTTCGATTGTTTTTTCTTCATTCTAAATTTATTATTCAACAATTGAATGTAATAGTCAGTTAAAATAGAGTGCATTTAAGCTGTTAATTTCCAGCTAATTCTAGGAGAGGTAAGGGATAGAGGAGAAAACGAAGGAGTCATACACCATGTCTTACATGTAGATGTGAATTCGACATGATCTCATTGGATTCTAATTTAAAATTTTTCATTGTAGATGGTTGTTTTTCTTCTATATCCAGCAATAAAGGACAGAGAAGAAAAAGGCTTGGAAAATTTCTCGAATATCTCAAGAGCGATTACTCATAAATTATTACATCGAAAAAAGGCTACTCTCAACGAACGTGTAAGGTCAGAATCATTGTTCTACCTAGTAGTATTTTCAAAAAAAATAAACTCGAATTGTCAACGATTAGTGAAACATAGATTTATTGAGTTCAAAACAATTCTCAACTAAAAAACGATTATCTGACATGATATTGAAGTTAAATAATAACTCGATACCTAGTTACGTTGATGCAAACTACTTAAACTAGGGGCACTCTATTTTCTGAATTTTTATTTCGATTATCAAGAGTCAAATTGATGAAATTTTCTTGAATATTGCTTTATAGTATTCAATATATGTTTCCATTTCTCCAATAAAGTCGTTCCAACTTGTTTGTTATATTCCTTCATTTTTTTACTAATCATTCTAAAATCTGTCGAAGTCAGTTTTTCAATAAGATCCTCAACCGATTCGTAATATATAATATGTGGCCATTGATAATAATCTGAGAAATTTAACCAATATCGAATTGCTGTACGATCCAAATCACTATTTGGATCGGGTACATTCGTTAAAATACCTTTAATACGAGAACGTTTTGGTCTTACTCCATCTAAAATTTGATCCCAAGTTTTTTCATTGACAACACCATATTCATAATGCCATTTAGTCAAAAGATCAAGTGATGGAAATAGAAGTGGAATATTCATTCGATATTGTTCAAATAGACTCATTATTGAAACTTGATAAGGCACATGAATAATAGCTGGATGATTAGTCAAATCAGAATATTTGTAATTACGATAAATACTTCTAATCGGTATAATTTTAATTTTATGTTTTTGATATTGATCTAAAGAATTTTTAAGTAGTTTTTTAAATAATGCATCAAAATACGATGCATGAATAGGAGCAAGTAAAAATTCTTCGCGTGTCGGATTATAATCACTATTTGTATAATTACAAAAGCTGGGTAAAAGTGTAACATTTATACCAGTGAAATAACGAATATATTCTGCATCATATAAATTATTTGCAGCTATAATATTTTTTGGATCTTGAGAAATTTTTTTCAAATTTTCGTTTAATTTCTTCCATTGTTCAGGTTCAAATCTTGAAAGTTCATAACGTGTTGATGAAATAATAATAATACTTCGATTAAATTGCATATATAATTCACACATTGACACAGGATGAAAACAAACAAATGCATCAACTACATTCATTTCAATTTGGTTTTTATAAAATTCATAAAACTTAGAATAGATTTCATTGGAGAGATTCATTCCATTGTCCCTAGTCAATATACGAAGAGAAGAAGGACATGTTCGTGTTCGTTTACAACTATATGACAGACTTTTATCAAAAAAACGAACACCTAAAGGTGAAAGAATATTTTTCAGATCATGAATAGGGCTAAAATAAAAACAAAACAAAAAAATTTAATTAAAATGTTTCAATAGAATTCATATACCTTATGTGATAATCACTACTCCATATAGTGATAGCATTTTCGTAAGGCTGTAGATTGAGTGTTTTAATATACAATTGATAAGTTAATTCTTTACGAAATATTATGACAAAAGTAATAAAGGTTAGCAACAACATAAGAGAATTAGCATGATGTCGAATAAAGAAGACAAAGCGTCGTAATTTTCGATGAGAAGTCATGTTTTCGAATTGATTAAACAATGATCAAAGTGATATTCTTTTTCTAAAAGAAGCAATGTGTAAAACTAATTATGTAGTGAATAACAAGGTATCAGAGATTTGCGACTAGTGTTGCCACATCATTCTATCCTGTTCTGTTGCGAGATGATAGTTGAACACTGCCGGATTTTGCATTTTTCCTGTTTTCTGACAACACTCTTCTCTTTTCTAAAATACAGCTAAATTTAGAAAAAGAAACGATTGTTATTAGGTTTTTGTATTTTGCCATAGTCGATATATATCTTATTTACTTTATTTGGTGTCATGGAAATGAAAGAATAATTACGATGTATGTCTACGATGAAGGACATAGAACTTGTATGCGTTCCTAAGACACCTTATTGAGTCGTATATCAATGTATTTTGAGGTTTCATAGAGCTCATTATTACGATCGTATATCTTCATGAACATATACAAAGTAATAGAGTCACATATGGAGAAATATGAAGCAAGATAGAGATGGTATATGACTATTCGACATAGACATACGATCGTCATATTGGACTATGTAAGCTGAGGTATCACTTGCAGTACGACTGTTTATGCGTATGCATGCACCCAAAATCATTGGTTTAATGTAATACGCTGTGAGTATAGATGGAAGCTTTCTTCTGACGAATGAATGAAGAATGATCTGATGCAGCATACAATGAACTCAAAACTGGCTGAAAGCTATATAAGTTGTGATTATCTTACTGCCTACGGAAAAGATATTTCTTCAAAACATTGTTCCAAAGCAAAATTTTAGAGAAAAAATGTTCTTTTTGCGCTTCAGCGCATCCTTTTTTTTATGAGCAATGCGCCTAAACGCATTGCTTTTTTTGGTGTACCATGTTTTAACGCATCCTTTTTGCAACGCATTTTTGAAGATTAAAACGCAATTTTAAAACACCGTTTGAATGCGCTTAGTTTTATGCGTTTGAACGTACTTGTTTGTTATGCATTTAAATAAGCTTTTTGAAAACGCATTGAAATGCTGTCCTTTTTTAGCGCATTTTTCTTGAAAAAAATGGATACATTACAAACGTGCTTGAAAACATTAATTTTAATGCGTTATATTATTAGAAAACGAGCTTCTTTCAAAAAAAAAAGTTTTATTAGTATTCACATTCGTATTTTGAGTAAAACTGCTGTTTTATGCAATAGAGTCTGTTATCATTTAGGCAAAACTTTACAGTATCACCCTTAAAAACATATCGCTTAGATTCATCTATTGTAGAAATTAATTTTATAAATATAGTATAGCTGAATGTATCTGAATCTTAACAGAACAAGAGCGACAGTGTAGATGAATTAGACCAGTTTTTATCTGATATTAAAAGAATCTTGACTAAACTATAGATAAGATGATGTCAGGTAACAACTCTGTGAAATGATTTCCAAGCAAGAATTCCTAGCAACAGCAATATTTTTATAAAACTATTAATTTGTTTTAATGAGGTCGTATGTTAATGGAGAAATAGCGAGTGTTTCTTGATCTTCTTCGTAGTATTCTATCTAAATTTTAGATTGACTTTTTTCTGTTATATTACATTTACGTGATCTAGTGATAAAGTGTGTGATAATATTCAAATCGATGAATGTCATAGTGATTACAAGAAACTTGTTTAAAAAAACAAAACTTATTTTACTAATTCTAGAAGCATGAGACGCTGGACCTGATCATTTTTCCATCCTTATATTTTTTTAAATTTCTTATTGCTAAATTTACGATATCCCATCACAATGTAGTTGAATCAAAAAAAAACGACAACGTCGTTTTATTAATTATTTCCATAGGATAAAGTTTTCAACGAACGCTTGATTTTTTCTACTGATTAATGAAACAATTAGTGGGGCGAATTTCAATCTTTTTTTTTCAATGTCCAAAGTGAACTGATAGATGGTAGTCGTATGTCTCGAAACAATTGAGTTTCATCTAAAAAACATCAAATTTATTATCAGAAGAAAACAAGAACTTGTATAAACTTAATTTAATGGACTATAGGTCTAAGCATATAACTATAGCGACACATTCATAAGCATCTGAGTGTCGAAATATATGGTTTTAATGTCTCAGAAATAAATGTAAATATACAGATATAAGTATATGTATAAGGGTATGAGAATAACCCAGGAAGAAGTGAAACGCTGAAAATGCCGTTTAAACTGTCATAATCACCCGTTCTGTTAGGAAACGATGATAAACGGCAAGAAAAAATGTGATCATCACTTTTCTTGCCGTTTTTACGTCTAGTCAGCGTTTCCAAGCGTTTTTCACATTAAATAATCTCTTAAACGGTTATATAAGTCATTTTCTTCTTCGTAAAAGATAGTGAGAAATGTTTATGTTCATCTTTTCCAACGAAAACAGCTGTAAATGCTCAAAGTAGATTAATCTTTTTTTTGGGACTGGTTCCCATAATTATTTATATTCTCGTGAATTTGTATTTTTTATTGTTTCACAGTACGCGTGAAAGACATTTAGTCCGTTTGGAGCTTCCATTTATCTTTTGATCTGCTGAATTAATTCAAAAAAGTATTTGCTGTAGATTTAATTATGTGAAAAAGAGTTCCTTTGATTAAAGTAAGAATTCGCATAACATTGACATCACATGAATCAAAATCATGTGTTGGTGCAAACATTAGAATATCGAAAAAATACAGATTGATTTTATTGATTTAAAGTCTCAGTTTTCACATTGAAATTCTAATTTTTTGATTATATTCAAAGCTCGAAACGTACGATAAATTATAAGTTCCTAATATTCTCAAAGATAAAATTGTCGCATTAGAGTTTTCATCACAAATTATCAACTCATCAGTATATGAGCTAATTGAAACTCGTTTTATGACAAGCAATACAACATTATTAATTATGAGCTACATAATCCAATTAGAAACTCTAGCCAAGACAAAAGAGAGTAATATTTTCAGTTAATATATATTCGACAAATGCATGTGGCATAAACAGAACGGATCTCATATGCTTAGTAATTGATTGTTAGTCTTAATCAAATTGGAGAGATAGGAAAGCAAAGGGAAGAAAAGAAAAATTTAAGTCAAAAAGTAAAAGAAAAAAGTGAGAGAAGAGGAAGGAAAAAAGAATAAAGTTAGAGAAGGACAAAAGAGAAAATAAATTCGTCCAGCACATTCATTCATTGATTCGATGAAGATTGCTCAATAAGAAAACATCACTTCTGCGAGCAATGTGAATGCACACAAAAATAAGATACATGAATGATATCTGAATTTAATCTAAAAACTATTCAGATTACGAAGAAATTCACATATTTACTGTATACGAATTGTGAATAAGGATTCTCATTGACCGTTGGTCGAGCTTAGAAAACATGAGTAAAAAAGATTCAGATAACTCTAATAAAAGAAGTCTTCAGAATTGAACGATGTAGAGGATTTAGTTTCACCTTACGTTCGGCATTTATTTTTGCTTTTTCTTAGGATAGTATTTGTGGAAAACTTCCTTGTACATTCTATCGAGATAGTTGACAAAATACGATATTCGTAGGAAAAATATATAATATAGAACTTATTTGTCATTTGGTAGCACCACATTCCATAATAAAATCATTAGTGAAACTAAGCTATTTAACATTT